TTTAATTAATATTGTTGAATTTATGTTTAAGATTAACAGACAATATCGCTTAGAATAAATTTTATTTGAGCTTATAAGGTATAAATTTTCAAATTTCTTATAAGAAACACTGGTCATGAAATACTTATATTCGTAAACAGGTGTATCTAAGTAATATAAAATGACAATATAACTGTAACGTTATCAACATTAAATCTATATGAAAAATAGCAAAAAATATTCATGTTGTGAGTAATTTGCTTTTTTTAAGCATAAAGCTGCACTACGGGATATCTGTGATATACCCATCACGGGAATCGAACCCAAAACTTTAGCATTACAAACCCTTGATCTTACGATTGCGCCACAGAGGACGTTACGATTAATTTCTCAGATTGATAATAACTTTAGTTGCATATTTTGTTCCTGATGAGCTTACACTTGTAATACTAACAACACCACAAGTTATGAGAAGTTACCGTTAGAGCTCATGTGTAAAGTGAAAAAAAAAAACATCAATGAACCTAAAAAAAACAGTCAGTCTGTCAGCAACTTAATAAATATGGAATCTAAATTATATTGAGGATTCTTATTATAATGGAGCTTGTGGTGTATACGCCCAAAACTCCAATCTCAGAAACTACCGCACCAGTCATCACCAATTATGACTGGGTAATATTTTTAATAGTATGCAGTATTTTTATAGCTGAGCAATAAATAAAACAATTGAAATATCCATAAAAATTATATTTTTCAGATTTACCCAATAAAAAAATTACAAAATAAGGAGTAAGTTTTAAATATAAAACAATCAAAAACAAACTTTAAACAATTTTGTTTTTTTTAGTGAAAATCTCATGTGTGTTGCAACAGAAAAGCAAGATCAGACATTTTCTTTATTGTTTTAAAGATGTTTTATGATTAGTTGAAATACATGTCGTAAAACAAAAGCTGATTTCCCATTCGAGGAAAGCACAATATTTTATTAAGGTATTTAAAAATTTTAAATTATCGTTCATTAAATTTTCCTCTATACTAATGATTGTAAATGTGAACTAAAAAGTGTTACTTATACTTGTCAAAGCAATAGTAACAACTACCACAGCGACTAACTCAGCGACGTCTGCTGTAAATCATCTTTTGCTTGGCATTGAGACAAATCATAAATATTTAATGACAATACACTTTGCACTAAACTCAGGTTTGTTACAAATATATCGGTTTATTTCAAAATTTACCATTCTTGTCAAGTATGTGTTAAAAGGAATGACAAACAGTTCATTAAATATAGGTCATTACTAGTGTAATATAGCTGAACAACTAGGACTTTTTTAAAAATAATTAAACAAACAGCTCATTTCTGTAGTAGTAAAAGTGCTACAAAACTAACTGGAACTAAGTTAAGCAAGTGCTCTTATTCTTTACATTTTTATTCTATTCGTCAAAGTATCTGATGCAAACCGTTTTAGAAAATGAGAAAGATTACTTAATATTTATGTAACTAATGCCCTTGTATCAAAACTTAGAAAAGGAATGGGTGTAGGTATGATAAATCAGAAGCTAATTCTTTTTTTTTTTTTAGTTGTCCTGTGGGAGAAACAGTGTACCTCCTCGTGTTGGTAAGCTGCGTTGCGAGGGGGGAGGGGAAAGCTTTGCTTCCTGCAAGTGGTTTTTTCCGCAATACATTATTCGGGTAAAGCTATATAAGTCGTATACAGCGTGGCTTACATCCATTTACACACGTCGTTTTCTCGTGGTGTGGAGGTTATCGCTTACTCGTAAACCTAACTCTGGTTTCTTAGACGAATAAATTCAATATCTGTGACATAATAGAAGGGAAAAATTATCCAAAGCAAACTACTGTGTTGCTGATCCAAAAAGTCAGCAGATAACGAGAACGTCGGGATAAGCAGAAAGTGGAAGGCTTGGTAAGTAAATGTATTTTTATTTTTAATCACGAATGTTAGATAAAGAACTATTTGTATGTGCAAACTTATAAAATAAATTAGTTTATAACATATGTATGTTCCTTAAGATAATTTACACAACATACATTTTTGTAAAATCTTTCTATAAAGATGATCCATTATGTGTGTGTGTGTTTACGTGTGTTAATATTCATCACCCAAAGTTGGTTGGCTCGATTACCGCAATTTTTGGTGCGATTACTAGAAACCGTCAAACGATGTGCAAGGTTTATTTTATTTTAGGATTTTTTTCCAGAGAAGGGGTATGAAAAAGCATCTGAAATAGGGCACATTTCCATTTTATATAGGCTTTTGGCTTTGAATACTTACTCAGTGAAATGAGTCAGTTGTTGCCTTCCACAAAGCAGCGTTTAATGAGGTCATTATGGATTTAATAACAGAATAAAATATATATATAAAACATATACAGTTCCATTCTAATTCAACTGTTTCAGCTTGCATTATTCCTGTAAAACCACAGGTGACTGAGAAACGCATAAGATTGAACCGATTATATAATCTTTATATATAAATCTAGGATTATGTTACATGAGTTATCAGATTGCATAGTGCTAGTAGTAAAATATTTCATTAAGACACCGCAAATAAAGTTCATGTCATAGCTTTATATATAAGTTATCAGCTGCTAGTGTGATTATGTTTTTATTTAGATGCTTTCCATAATTTTAAACCTTTCTGTAGTATTTTATAGCCTCACTGTTTAATATTCTGTTGTTGTTTTTTAGAGGAAAGTATCCATGTTTTCCTTATAGACGCACACTTCCATGTGTTTACGTTTTATTTGTACCAGTTTTACATTCGCTGGACCAAATTTATTAAAAATGGATTTCACTTTATTGGCCTCGCGCGCCTGAAGCCATAGCATCTGACAAGACCTGGACGGAATCTTTAGAGTGTGTTGGAGGACCTAAACAAATGTTGTGTTTACTTTAATAAACGATTGAAATACAATCATTCAAATCCATAAGCATAAGAATGTTTGTTTCTCAATTTGGGGATCCTAGAAATAACATTGGGTTTTTCTTTTGCGTTCACAAACGATTATTTTATCTGATATGGTTTCATTATTCTTGGAACAGTTTACACAGCATTCTATTTAAATAGACGTAAAGCAGTTTAGTATTTCTTTTTTTCAAATTCTATGCGATGCGTCCTTATACTAAACGTTTTTACTTAGCTTCCAGTCCGCTCTTTTCAAAGGCATGGACACAAATGGTCAGCATGCAGTAGCGGGTTACATCAAAATAGTTGGTAAGTCCCCTCGAGGCGATTCTGTCTTTAAATAACACGAAGCGGGATATGCTGGGTGAACACCAAGGGAGATGGTGGGTCGAAAAAGAAGACAATTTTCTCCTTTTTTCTTGCTCACGTGGACACAGACTATGCAGGTTATATATGGGTGAGGGTCGGAACGGAATTAGTGGCTAGTCTCGTGGAAATGAACCGTAGAGGTATCGTTGCCCATGTGGTCCTTCATATACCTGACTTCTACTGAGCCCCGTATGAATCGTCATGCGACCCCTTCCGTTCGACCCTGCAGTTTTGATATGCTCTCTTAAACATCAAGCCGACCGGAACAAAAATCAATAAGCCAGGAATTCGAATAGAACCTTTTCATCCACCAAAGGTGTGTAACTGATGAAAATTACCACATATCAGACATTCCTGCATCGTTATTTTGAACAGTTATTTGAGGGCACAGATTTATTTCTTCTCTAGGTTCTCTCTGAAGATTAGCATGGAAAACTACAGCACCTTTAAGCCGAGTTAAAGGCAAAAACTATTAGTTCTAGTACACTAATTTCTTACTATTTTATTTACATAAGTTTTCTATGCGTCAGTGCGCTTTAAAAACTATTCTCATTAAAAGGCAGCAATCTGATTTAACAAGATAATAAGTGACGAGTTAGATATCTTTTGATTTTGATTTTAAAACGAAATATAAAGGTTTTGAAGACTAACTTGCTGATATGACTAATGACTTAAAAAACCCGCAAAAAGTCTCATTTACAGTCTAAGCAAAATGGAAGCGCTTTTTCCTGATTATTGATCGCTGCTTTATTTAGTTTTATTGTGGTGGTTTCAAGAGTGCGTAGGTTTCTAACATTCTTTGCTCTGAAAAGGATCTTGAAGTGCTTGTTGGTCGATGGTCTGTCGCTACAGTTCGGTATGCGTTTTGCTATTTGTATTGGCTTACACTTCTGAAGTTTAGATATAATATTGGTTCGTTCTTGTGGCTGTCGATCCCATGTACTTTAGTTTACAACTCGAACATTCGTATATAGATAGTTGATATAATCTTTTAACGGAAATGAGTTTTATAAAACCATTTTTAATAGCTTGAGATAATTTTAAGGAAAATAAATTTCAGAGCATTATATATATGTTGGAAAACAAAGCACTTTTAGATTACAGCAGTACTTCACAAAGCTAATAATACGTGCACACTTTCGTGTAAACTTCGCATCGAAATAAATGCTTCAAGAGCTGTTTTTTTTACAATATCTTTCTTTCCTTTCCAATAATGAGACATGTTTAATGTTTACAGTGGTTGTATATAAAATGTGTATTATAAGTGTATGCGCTTTCTTGAGCTACTGTTTAGTAAAAACGAGTCCCTTAAAGCATATAATCAGTATCTAACTTAGACCTTAGAATTCGAGTTTATATATATATGTGTGTGTGTGTGTGTATTGCAAGAACTCGTTATGATCGTATTTCATCGTTAACTTTTCCTTTTCTTACATAAAACCTCAAAACTTTGTTTTGCCGTAAAAGTTGCGCCTTCTAATACACTTGTGCAATTCTACATCTATTCATATCATTGTGAATCTAAGTGTATGACGCCTGTAGTTTATATCTACCTTCGCTTTCACAGGTGGATGATTCTGTAGACCATGACGGCGGAGACGCATCGAGAACCTCCCGGTGTTCCTTACGTCCAGCCTCCCACTACTAGTCTTCATGTCGCCGCCGAAACTAGTATCTTCTCCGGTTCTTTTCATCTACAACAGCCGCTGCTCGCTGATCCTCTGATGACTTCTCAGTTGACGGCGGCCATGAGGGTGTGTTCTCCGCAGAACGCCACATTCTCCGAATGGGACGACGAAGAAGATTCTGATAATGAGGAGTTCGCTGGTGAGTTTGACTTTCCCAACGATCATAAACAAAAGCCTGAAACTAAAGTGTGCGGTGAAACAATAAATACAGAAGACATTATTCGTCAGTTTGACGCAAATAACGATGATGTTTCGATAACAACTGGTAATGTCAACATCAAACCTAAAGAAAAGAGAAAACGATACACTAAATCTAAGGCCCGAGTACGCAGTCCAAATCGCATGGTAAAGATTAAGAAAACACGACGACTGAAGGCCAATGACAGAGAAAGAAATCGAATGCATAATTTGAACCACGCGTTGGATCGTCTCCGCCGAGTGCTCCCGACATTTCCCGATGATACAAAATTGACAAAGATTGAAACTTTACGTTTAGCTCACAACTATATTTGGGCTCTTTCTGAAAGCCTAAAGATGTTGGACTCTAAAGATCGGGTTGACCATATAGATAGTGAAACTCTGTATAATTCGACAGCTTCACTGGTTGAAACATCTGCTGTTTTGCCTGGACACGGACAAGAACGTGCAATGGGTCCGGTCTCAGATTTTCCTTCCGCTCCATCGAGTGCCCTACAATTCGGTTCCGGCTATTACTACAGTCCTCTGTCCGTGTCGTGTAGTCGTCCCGTGTGGAATACTAATACAATAACTTTGCCGTCCCCGTGTTCTCGACCTTTACCGTGTGCTGAGTTGGACGTTGTAGATTATAATAGTTCTGAATCAGATTCAGTTTTGTTCACTTATGAAAATCTGTAGAACCATAAATGAGTTGATAGTTATTTGAGTTCATAACTTGCAAGTCTTATTGTTGGCAGCCTAAGTATTTCATGGAAAAATGATTTATGATAAGAACATAATAGAGGATTCGTACGAAGATAGTGTGATATATATTCGTTGAAACATTTTAATTTATGCCATAACTTGAAAAGCAAATCCTAGTAAATAAATTTATTTTATTCATTCATTGTTGATGTAGATGACCAGGAACATGTGTCAGTTCTGTAATAATGTTCAATAAGTTAGAAATGATTTCTGATACAAACTAAACAGTTCTTTTTTATAGTTGTTTTTATGTAAGTCAAATTTAAATGTAAAGATTAAGAACAACATTTAGTCACGTTTTTATTCCTATTGCACAGCCGCATCACAAATATTAAATTGTCGCTACCGCTGTCTTTCATGGTATACATATTTTGAAATAAATTTCTACAATTAAAGTCTTCTTCTCCTTTGTTACTAAGAGGTTTTTAATTTATTTAGTGTTCTAAAAGATAGTTACATAACTTGCACCTGAAAATGAACCCATAACATTTCTTAAACAACTGAATATTAATATATCATGAAAAAATGTATCCAAGGGACTGAGCTCGAATAACCACTCCGATTTTTCGTTAAGTCAAAATGTTCAATTTTTTTTTAAATAACTGATGGGTTATAATTATTAGTTACAAATAATTCTATATCTTAATGCCTTGAAACTACATCATTCGAACGTATAAACTCACAAGAAGGGGGAAACAATTCATGTTGTTAAAAATGAAACTTTGAGATTTTTGAAAGTGCAAACTATACAAGAGGTTAGCTACACTATACCCATCTACCTACCGCAGAGAAGATAAACAAACAATCGACAACTCCATGCCGGCTACACCAAGGCATAGCTCGTCACCACGTTCTTATTTTGTGTTTGTTGATATACGTATTTAAGTCATTGAGTAGAGCAATTTCAATAAAGCATATTTTATTTGGATAGAAATTGCAAAGTTTTTCCCATCTGAAAATACTTCTTTAATAAAACTGATATGTTTTGGGGGTTTACAGCATGCTCGTCTCAAATGATTTTTTTCTCCAAAAGCCAGTATCAAAATCCATTTACTTTCTATTAAATGAGCGGTTTACTTATCTCAAAATATCAGAAATCGTTAAATACACGTAAAGGATAAAAGATAAAACAACATTCAGAGTGAGTGATATACTTTTCATAAAGCTAAACTAAGATGTTTTTTTTTGTAATCGTAACTTTAACCAACTATTATTTAACGTGATGATAAAAACAGTTACGCTATCGTTGTTTTCAAGGATATTTAATATTATGCAGGTGAGTGAAGTGTGATTTTCTTCTAGACGCAACGTTGGCCGTTATAGAGCTGAGTAAATCAAGCATACATATAGAGCTACAGATTACGCTCAGAAATTCCGCTGCTGTTCTACTCGTTGTCCTACGGTAAATGACACGTCTTTTCAGCGTTTCACATGGATGCCAAAAAGAACGATTAACTCCCCGGTGAAAAAGGCTCCCGTGTGTCAAGAACGATCGCCCTTTGGAAAATGCACCGGAAGTATACTATGCTCGCTAGAACTACTCAGAGTGCTTGCATATCGTTTAGGATTTTCTAAAAATCAGGTGTTCGGTTCCGTTCTATTCGGTTGGCTATTTTTTCCTGTTTTCCCAGGAAGGGCCTCTGACTTCGCAGTCACATACAGTAGAGTGTACCACTTAAACTCTCTTAGCTTCGGCTTTGCCTTTCTTTTCCATTTGGTGGGAACAAACTGCAGATGGAGTTCTCGACCTGGATCTATGTGGCGTCATCTGGTGTTCTTTTGTCTGATAGGATAAGAGGTAAGGTTTCAAATTAAGAGAAAACCTTTCCCCTGACGCCGCCCAACTCCTCTGTATTGATTTGACATCTTTTCTTGTGTCCTATAAAGCACTTTTTAAACAACTACTATGCATAACCTTAACACTTGAAAAAAGAAAAGAGACTAAATTGAACAAACTTTTCAACAACATTACTCCAACCTACAAATATTTGTTGTTTTCCTTTTAAATTCCAACAGAAACCATAATGACAGTTAAGTGTATGAATATACACTCAAGCCTTAACAAAGAACTGTACCGTTTCTAGAACTTCCAACAATTTTTTTAAAAACTAAATAGGGAGGTTTTATGAATACCCATGTGACTATGACTATGCTCTTCCTCTATACGCATAGCAATAAAACAGAAATAGGATACGAATACTTAGTATTTTTCTAGACCTATACAAATTACTAAATTCATTGGACATACCTACGATATCTAATTACATTATATCTGCATCGTTTGCCAATCTTTGTTATCCACTCATTTTTATAACTACATTTCACATCTTGTATGACTTGTAGAAAAGTTGCTATTGAGAGAATAGCAAATTTTTATGTAAATTCGAAAATAAAATAAAATAGAAACTTATTTTCGGGTTCTTTTTGTGTAATGAATGATAACATACAATCATGTTCAAAAGTAAACGGTTTTATCTCGGGTGGTGTACGTTCATGTTTAATTTTTCAACCAACTTCCTGAACTTATTAAAATATAGCATCATTTATATGGAGATAAACATGACATTTGTAGCCTATCTTTTAAGATGTTTCTACATTATTACACTATCAGTTAATGTTTCTTTGAAATGCTATTTACAGGTTGTTTATTTTGGTCAAAATACTAACTAAGAGTTTTACAAGCAAAAAATATCAGTACAGGTTCGTATGTCGTATACTCTGAATTTTACCTCTTCAACAAGTATATATATGTGTGTGTTTTTATACAATGCATGAATATTTGTTTTGTCTCACCTAGAAACCATAGTTTGTTGGATTTGGTAGCATCCTGATGTGTAAATAACACGTTATGAATGCGACGTTTCTTCTGAAGTTGGCTCAGGTATAATATCATCAATGTATGCTATATTCTTCATAACTTTCTACTTTAACCGTTTTTTCTTGAGTTTACACCATCCATTAAGTTATGTAATAATAATAAGTCATACCTTTACTAAGCTCTCTATTAAGAAGTATCAGACTAAGAACGGTTAATAACAACTTTCCGGATTTGTTCAAGAACTTCACTATAAAAGACACAAAATACAACTAAAAAAGAATCGGAATTTTTAATATTATACCTGTGACAAAGTAAAGCCACTGTTATAAAATATGCAAATGAGGCATAGGGTGATTAATCATGTGATCTGAAATGCAAATGATTGGTAATTCGGTCTGTACTATATACTGAATGACCAATTTTTATAACTGAATTTCACAAAATCTCCAGTATGTAACTAGTAGAATGTGGAACCACTTTCAAAACAACGTTGATTGCTGTGACACTTAGACAAGGCAATCATCATCTACAACTCAAAAATATTTCTGCTATCTGTCGATACTAGCTTGCAGCACCCATCGATACCTGTTCTGAGACCGAATCAAATATTCGCAGCCGTTATTGGACTCAGCTATGTACAAAATCCCAGAAACAGACCTCAAAAGAGCAGTCTATATGCTAAACGCTCAGTAAGGCGCATTAAGTAATGTAAAAAATGTCTCACCTGCAGTATTACTAAGAATACTTCAGTAGAATGATCAATGCTCGTGGTACAGAATAGTCGTATTCACTCTGCAGCGGCATACTGAACATACATTTCGTGGAATGAAACCATGTATGCTACGCATTAAAGGGATCACATTATGAGCCTTGTGCTCCTTCATACTGACGTAGATAGATGATAACACCTGCCCCGACCATACTAAACTTTCAACATTCTAGAATAAGAGAGAATTCGACCGATGGAGTTGCATACATGCTCATCACAATTGAATTTCATCAAGTACGTATGGGGTGTTTCTGGGAAATGTGTATCGATTAGCCCCTCGAGTGAGTCAAGAGGCTAAAAGTGTTTTGTTCAAAATAGTATTCAAGAATATCTCAGGATCTTATCAACATCTAATTTTGATCACGAAATATTCAGTGATTGGCTGCTCTTCCTGCATGTGATGATCATACTCCATAGTGTAATGAATTGCTAAGGAATGTGAACATGTGAAGCAACCTCTATCAAGTGTCCATTTACAAACGCAAGCTAGATCACCAATCACTTACATTTCAAATCATACAACGGATCAAATCATTCATAAAAATTACCTTGAAGGGCGAGTGACATTATTATATATCCGAGATTTTGCCTTATTATGGCTAAGATTTATAAATTCAATTATTTTCTAATTGTTTTGTGCAATGTGCATTTTTGGGTCTAAACCGATAGTTAACATTAAGTTTCATACCTATATTATAATTTTTAGTGCGAAACCTTTTACTCTTTCATTGCATTAAGGAAAAACAATGTAGATTTTTTGGTCTAAACACGATAGTTAACATTAATGTTCATATTAAACTCGATGATAATTTTTAGTGCGCATCTTTTTACTCTTTCATTGCATTAAGGAACAACAAATGGGCTTCAGGGCAATGTAAAAACTTAAGTTTTGTTTTTTAGTACACAACTCTCTACTCTATCATAGTAGAATAAAGTTTAAAGTTTGAGATCTTATAGCTTTGCAGTTACATTTATCATTCGGGTTCCCTTTATTTTGAGCATGAAGTATGAAACGTATTTACTTGTATTGAATAATAATTCTCACACTATGATTCAAAACTGTAGTGCTATTTCGAACAGTGTCAGTTCCTATCCTATAGATATGTTTTTACAAAGGATTGGTTTATACGCTACCATTTTGCACAACCCTGTCTATCATTTATTTAGCTGAGCTGGTGAAACGTGATATACAGTACCTAAAACAGTACCTAATTAAGGGATTTATGCAAAATTAAACAAATATATTTCATACTTTAACCTAAATAACGTTTTTGCAGAAATATTGAGAAATATTTGTTTTCGATGTCTGCACTAACCATCCCTAATTTTGAACTGATATACTAGATTGAATGAAGTTAGTCAATAGGACTAACCGCTGACTTTTGGGCTATACTAA